GTGGCAAGAAGCTGTGCTGCACTCCCAAAGGCACAAAGTACAAGAGCTGTTCCTTGGGAGAAGGATGGGCAATCCCCCCTGTGTGATTAACTGACTTTGAAAACCCACTGCAGCATCAGGTATGAGTCGGTTCCAACTTGATGGTAAACAATAACATGTTGTCTACACTCTATGGCTTTTTATTTCTTTTTATTAAATTGTTGCATATTTTCTTCCCCCCTCCCTATCAATTTCCCCCCAGCCCTTCTCACAATGCTCTTAAGCCCTATTTTATTTTAGTTCTTTGCTTTCTGTGTACCATCGAGTTGGATCCAACTGGGACAGGAGATTGCTTCTCCTTCTCAGCAGAGCGTCTGGTGGATTCAAACAGTGAGCTTTTGGGATTGCAGCACAGCTTCTTGCCACTAGGCCACCAGAGCTTCCCAGCCCCGTTTTAAATGCCAACAGTTATTTCCCATTCTTCCACTTTTTTTCTTGGAAGAACCCATCCAATATGGCAACTCAACCTCTCTTTTCCCATTGATGAGCTCCAGCCTTTTCTCCTAAAATCTAAGTTTGCATTTCTAAGTGCCATCTAGGTTTCATTACATAGAACCCAAATACATTTTGAGAGCTTTTGGAGAGGATTTGGTTGCTTTAAAATTCTCATCTCTTCGAATCTTCCTCATTCTATTGGTTGCAGTCTTACCAATTATTTCTTGAAAGCCTTGTTTATCAACCAGTGCCTTTGGCTTGGTCCAGCCCCTCATCATAACTTGCCTGGTTTGTAGAATTAACTTTTGAACTTATATTGCTCTCAATCCTTCTCAGACATCACAGTGGGATCAGTAATATATTGCTACAACATATGCTCTTGCCGACCATCACGACACCAGTCCTTTCATCACACTCTCCTTAGTGCTCAAGTCCAGTGTCACCTAGGCTTTCTCTACTTTTCTGAGTGAACCTGCTTCTTTTGAACCAGGTCCTACTGCACCTCCTTCCCAGGTCCCCTCTCTGCTAATTTATTTTATTTTCTGGATGGACTAGAACAGATAGATAGGCTACCTGTCTTTTCATAACTTTCCAGAGATACCTTTACCATTCTAAGCCTGTTGTGGTTGAATTGGTTCTGACTCATAATGGTTTGTATACATAAGAGATGAATTGTGCTTTACAGGGCTTTTAAAGCAATGGCCTTTGGCAAGTTTGGAATCACAGAAGCCAAGAAAGCTTCAGATACAAGCTGTCAGATCATGGGTTGGAAAATGGAAGATATTTTCTGAAGGGACTTGGCAGATGGGAAGGGTTATCCTGGTGGAGGGTAGAGCTGGGAAGTAAGTGGGTCAAGGCACTGGGCTAAGGGTGGGGTCAACACTGTAACTAATGCTTAACTCCACAATAAGGGATTTATCTTTCACTGCTCCACAAATTGCTTGTC